AGATGAACAGAGGAGGTTGACTTTAGAAAGACAGGCTGAAGAAAGCAGAAGAACATGTTTCAAAGATATTTTTAATGTAAAGCAGGGCCAGGGAGACCGAACAACAGAAAAATTAACTAGTTAAGCACAGGTGACTTCCAGCTGCCTATTTTGCATAAGAATTAACAGAGGGAGCTTCATTATCATGCCAATTGAAGATTTTAAATGGGCCAGTTAGGGAAATTGGCTGTTGTCTCTTTCCCCAAAAGTCTTAAAACTTAGTTTGGGTTTGGTGAACATGGGTGACTCCATTTTGATTTTTTAGTCTAGTCTGTTGGAACCTAGTGCAAAACCTTAAGTCTAAAACAATGGCCTCGTGGTGGCTCATGCCTGTAATCCTAGCACTCTGGGAGGCCAAGGCGGGAGGATCGCTTGAGGTCAGGAGTTTGAGACCAGCCTGAGCAAGAGCTCCAGTGTCCCTCCTGCAGACCCACATCACCTCTTGCTGGAGCTCCAAGAAGGTCCCAGAGCCCCAGGTCATGTGCACACCTGCTGGGAACACAGAGGACCCCAACAGAGTAAAGGAAAAGCACAAATAATCAGTGGAAAAGGGATGAGGCTTTTTCCCACTCTAACTCCATTACATTGCATAGCCCAGAGGTGGCACTGAATTTCTTACATAATATAGAGGAGTGTGTGTGCTTCCCTTCTTATATTCCCAAATACCCACTAAAATATAATTATGCTGTTGAGGTTGAGAAACAACATCCCCATTAAAGATCAGAGCAGTTGGGATGAGAACAAAGCAAATATTGGTATTATGAGTGATACGCCAAACACCATGCTGGGATCTTTACAAAGGTTTCCACTTGACTTCCTCAAATATTACAGCGAGTGTTACAGCAAGTGGTCCCAAGGACAAACTGAGCGGCACACGGAGAGTCGGAGAATCGAGGTTTATTCGCCAGCGGGCTCAGAGGGGCCTCGACATCAAATTCTGAGCCCTGTCTACCCGGATTTTTCCCACTTTTATTAAGTTGTGGTGGTCTGGGGGGTAGGGTGTCACATGGTTAATGCCTGCCAGGTAATAGGTTAGTTGATGTGTCAGATAATAGATTTAGTGTTATGCTGATGCGCCAGGTAGTAGATTTAGTGTTATGCTGATGCACCAGGTAATAGATTAGTCGATGGGCCAGGTAATAGGTTAGTATTATGCTGATGCGGGTCTTCCCTGAGGGGTGGGGGATTCAGGTGGCTGATGGGCCAGGTAATAGATTAGTCGATGGGCCAGGTAATAGGTTAGTATTATGCTGATGCGGGTCTTCCCTGAGGGGTGGGGGTCTCAGGTGGCTGATATGCCAAGTAACAGATGGGGATTTTCCTTATCAATGGTAATAATTTGAGGATAGCAAATTTGTAAATAGATTGACAGAGAAGTTACATATCAAAGAGAAACAGAGCCAGACACTAGTTAAAGGAGGTAAAAACCGATTTTATTGAGTACTATTGCAATAGGGAAAGAAACTTCAGTATAGAACTGAGCTCAATTACAAATACAATGAGCACAGTGTGGATTTTTTTAGCCCAGCAATAGAGTGGGGGGAGGGGTGGTCAGTGAATAGATAATTACTAAGAGGAGAGTCAAGGGTAGAGGGATTCTTGCTAAAGGCAGGCCAAGGTGATCAGTATCAAGGGTAAAGAATGATGAACTATGTCAGACACCAAGGATGATCAGATATCAAGGAGAGGACTGATTTAATAAGGTTCTATGCTAAAACTGGCTTTGCCAGACAAAGGATAGGGCCCAAGGAGGGGACCTAGTTGAAAAGAGGGTTCAGAAGAACTTATGTAAGTTTGTGGTCAAGGAAAGAGTTTTTGTCATACACATATACTTAATGTTTTTGAAATATATACAAAATATATAGTTTGTAGGGAGAAATCATGTTAAAATAATTGCTGTGGCATAGTAGATGTGTGTGTGTTTGTATGTACATATGTGTCAGAGTGTGTGTATATATTCCTGTGGCTTAAACACAACAATGTTATGTGTGTCTGTGTTTTTAGTGTTCAAACTCATCACTCCATGCACACTCACAGGTGCAGCTTTCTCTCCATCTCAGACAAGGCCTGGGCTTCCTGTCTTGGGGCTTAGAGATGCCAAAAAGTGATGGATACAGACAAATTGCTGTGTAGATTGTACAGAAATTTAGTATAGAAAATTCCAGAAGCTCTGGCTCAGACCATCAAGACTAGTCCCTATCTCCCTCCAACTACTCTTGCTGAGTCCCCATCTGAGACTTCTAGAACTGCAATTAAGGATATGATCAGCAAAGGGGCATGTCTCCATTTTGTTTTCCTTTCTTAAAAATTAAAGCCCCTAATTTTTCAAATAAAAGAGATGTCTTTCTTTTCTTTCTTTTTTTTCTTTATTTCTAGAGATGGGATCTCTCTATGTTGCCCAGTCTGGTCTCAAACTCCTGGCCTCAAGTGATCCTCCTCCCACCCCAGTCTTCCAAAGTGCTGAGATTGCAGATGTGAGCCACTACGCACCAGCAGAGATGTTATTCTTTAGAATAATTGATAAAACAGTATATAGGGTATATAGCCAATTGTGCTTGGAAGATTCCTGTGTATATTAAAAGACCAAACATAAGCTTCATTTATGTTTGCCCCATATATTTTGTTCACTGACAATCTCCTTTACTTGCTCTGTTCTCTCATCAGTGTTGCCTTACATGTCCACACTGTAGAGGCAGCCCCTCCCAGAGAGCAGGCCACTCAAATCCCCAAGATCTCACCCATGTACAGGCCTCCCAGACTTTTTCCCCACCCCCCTCTGTCATCCCCTCTCCAGGTCTCTATGGACACATCTGCCCAGATCAGTTTCCCTGAATCATGCTCTGAGCTCAAAGGAGGCTGTTGCATAGCAACAGAGGCTCAGAGACAAATATAGCCTCTGGAAGGAAGAGCGGTTGCAGGCAGTGCTGGTGCTATTAGGAAAGTGAATAAAAATCATACCTTCGAAAAACCTTTAAAAGCAGCCCACCTCCTCTCCTCGCCAAGGCCCCCTGCCCCATGCACCCAACCTACATTTCTAGCCCTGTGTGCCAAGCACTGTGTGCTCTGGGAAAACTGCACCACTGCCTCATCCCTCCATTTTCCAATCACCCCAGGGTCTCATTAACGCAAACGGGGTTATATTTGCAGGGGGCTTGTTTTGCATACACACAGGATAGCATTCCATCTTGAAGACCACCCTGTAAGGGAGTGGTGTCAATCCCCTTTTTTGAGATGAGAGAACTGTGTCTCCAACATGGTGAGAACCAAGCCTGTCTTTCCTTAGAAAAGGCAGCTTGCAGTGATTCATGAGCAGACCTGGGGTCTAGCTCCAGCTTCTGAAAGCACATAAAAGTGCTCTCAAGTCCCAGGCCAGCGTCTCACAGAGTTAATAGTCTAGGTCCCCACTCACCAATGTGTGATTCTTGCTTTAGGAGACACCTGTTGCTCACCTAACTGTCTCTCCTGCCCGCCTCTCATCTGCAGGAGGCTGTTCTATCCCTGTCAGTAGGGTCTTGAAAGTAGCTCTCACCACCTACATCCTCCAAAGGAGTCAACCCTTTCCTACACAATACCCCACCACCCAGCCATCTGAGGGCAACACTAATGGTGTCATTGCTCACAATATCAGGAACCAGTTTCGAAGACACGTAAACACGTGGTGTCATCCCCTGACAGGATATTCAGATGCCTCTGAGGAGGGGAAGTATGCCACCCTTGTTATTAGACATGGCATTCATATCTGACTAACATGACTTAGGGCCACGGTTTTCACTCCTTTCTTACATCAAGGTGCTCTCCTCTGTGGACTTCCCTGACAGCTGACACCTCCTTAGCATTCCTCCCCATACCCACTTTCCAGAAAGCACACAAAAACACCATCAGAGCCACAAATGGAACACATCTTAGTCCACAGAAAATAATTCGGGGAGTGAGAGAAGTAAAAGCAGCCCCAGGAGTCCACACTGGTGCTTCCATCTTCAGGTGGTTCTGTCTTGTGAGGAGTAGGGCTTCATCGGTCATTTGCCATCTCATCGCTTTGTTCATTCTAGATGTAGGTCTTTGCTTACTTGCTGGGTTATCTCCACTACAGAGAGGCTCCATTATCACTCTGTATGGAGGAGGGGAGCCTGTGAACATCTTGATGACCTGCGGGGATCATTGAGTCCACTGTGTCCAGCTCTTTGGAGAAACGGTTCCCACTGAGGGGTCCACTCGAAGAAGTTCACGGGTGACCACAGGACATTGTGTAACGGATGCAGGTGCAGATGGCAGGAAGCAAAGATTCCCCTGATGGGCATTGCCATGGGGCAGCCAAACATGGTAATACCTTGAGCTGTCGAGCTGTCTTTGCAACTGCCTGTCCATAGTGTCCATCACCAGCATGCCATTTTCCATCTGCTTGGCCTCTTCCCCTGGACTGCTGATGCCTGTCATCCCATCATCCTCCGAGGCTTGTTCCTACTCTGTGCTGGCGCACACATGCAGGAACTCACGCACGCAGAAACTCGGCGAAGGCAGTGATTCCTCTCAGAAGGGTTCTGGTAATTTTAGACGCTCATTCCATTCAGGTGAGACGAGCCTCCACCCAGCCTGAAAAGATATCTGTTAATACCGAGTGAAACTGCCAATCATCGAAAGGGTTGGGCTCTCCTACCTGTTGAGTTCTTTGTGCAGCGCATCGCCTTTCTGTCCCTGGACCACCCCAAGCACATAAACAGTTTGTTGCACACAGGGTCCTCCCAAATGAGGTCCCACCAAATCCGTTAAGGTATTATATCCATAACGTGTGCATTCATGTAGGTTTCTCATAAGAGGCCAAGCCAAAGCGTGGGTAGGAGAATGAGTCCATAAGAACTCTGTCTCCACTTAGCTGTGCCATCCCAAATGACAGAGTCCCAGTCTTTAGCTTTAAAGGGGATCTAAATCTGGCTGGGCTATCAAGGCTCCAGAAAACAGATCACCTCCAACAGCCTCCTTAGCAGCCCTGTCATTGGCCTGGTTTCTTTTTGCCATGCTGGCCACCGGTTCGGGCTCAGCCATGGCCTGTATTGAGGCCATTATTTCAGTGGCATGCTTAATATTCTTATTTCTTCTGTCAGGAGACCCCTTTTCTTTCAAATGGCACTGTGAGCATGTACAATCATAAAAGCCTATTTAGAGTCTGTAGACATGTTTACCTTTTTCCTCTCAATAACTGCAACTCAGCTTCCTGGGCTGGAGTCCCAGGTGGCAGTGCCACTGTCCTGATCACTGTATATCCAGCCCCTCATTGTCCATAAAGCTGCTCCATCAGTCAAAATGATCTCAGTCTTGCTCTGGCATCGTCTGATCTGACAGATCTATCCTGCTGGAATATACAGTGTCCAGAACCTCTAAACAGTCACGTTGTAAAGGCTCATTCTCTTTGGCTGGCAAAGGGGTGGCAGGATTGAGAATAGACATAATTCACAATTAGCTATTACTGCCTGGAGGCAAAGAGGCCATTTTCTCACAATATTGTTCAGTGACTTTGACATGTCACTGGCTGTGGGAGCCTCTCAGCCTCTATACTAAGACTCTGAAGCTCATTGCTTGTTTTTCTCCGTACAAAGGCTTTACCATCAGTCCAGAGTTTGGGATCTAGATGCCATTCCTAGGAACCTCAGAAAAGTTAATACAAGTTTACAAATCTGTCCAATTGCAGATTTTGCACGTCCCCTGCTGAGCTTTTATCAAACAGAGGAAGAGTCCATTTAAACCCATGAGGCAACACAGTGCCAGGATCCTGCCATTTAACCTCAGCTGTCGCTTGCCTGGGCTTCCTCACTTCTGCCTGGCCCCTCCCCCACTGCCCCTTGCCTGGCTCACAGAGTGCTGGGCAGGGGGCTGGTGCCAGGAGTCGGGGCTGTGGCTGGGGGAAGGGGTCCCTGGGACCGCTTCTGTCCAAGCAGTTTGGCACCAATTGAATCCCCACTGTCAATCTTTGCCCAGGGCTCCTGCGGGGCTATTCGGAGGCACGGAGCTCTGGGCCCCCTCCTTTGTGATCTGAGTCCTTGGCTTAAAAAAAACGATTGCTCTCTTCTTGCTACCTGGAGTCCAGGCAGTGTTCTGTCCAATGTCCTTTCTTTTTACAAAGAGCACACTGCTTAAATGACCCTTGGTTGGCACCACTAACAGAACACTTATAGGTTTCAGTTTTTTGTTCTCTCCTGGTGTTATATGCTTTCCAGTAGCCTTGCTCTGGCTAGAGATGTGCTCTCTGGCCAAATTGTGCTTCCTGCTGGGAGAGACCATTCCAAACCCCAATGATAACCTAGTGGGCGTGGGGCTGGGGAGTTCAAGTCTCACCCTCCCCCACCCTTCTCATGGCATGGGTGGCGTGTAAATAAGTAAGAAGAAATTTTAGAGAATACATTAATTTTCAGGATATCCCTAACACGTCTTAAGTATCCTGCTCCTGTTGTAGGCAAACACCAAAAGGCAGACATTTTCTCAGCATTCATCATTATTAAGAGGAAATCAGATTAAGGAAAACTCAATTAAGCCAAATAGGAATTCTGCCAAGCACAATACACAGTTGCCCTGGGCCAGGTCCAATATGGTTCTTTATCTTGCTTTTTAATTGCATATTTAATTCATTTATTTTTACTTCTATTAATATAGGTAATTTTCCTACAAAAGTTGCTTTTACAACTATTCTAGCTATAGATTCTGATATATTTTCATTATTATTATTCTCATCAAATTCTGCTATTTTAATCTATTTTCCATTTATTTCTAAGATTTAACAGCTTCCAAAAGAACCAATTTTCATGAATATTCATGTATATCTATAAAGCGAATGTATTATCTATTACTAGGCTTCAGAATTCAGCATATCTGTCTAATCATTGCATTATGTTGTTTAGTTCTTCTGCATACTTAGTAAATTTTTTGGCAACATTATCATTCTTGGATTGAGGAAATTGTGTTTAAATCATTGATTATTAATGTGATTCTTCCTATCTCTCCTTGCAGCTCCTTTATTTTGGGTTCTATTAATATTTTTGTGTGATTGGTTTTATAAATATTAATAACTCACATCTTCCTTATAAATTTTATCCTTTAGCATTACCAACTGTACTCTTTTAGACCATTTTGGTGTCAAGTTTTCCTTCTTAAATATCAAGATTATAACCTCTGCTTTCTTTTTATTTGCAATTGCCTGGTATATATGTACTTAATTTTTTTTTTTTTTTTTTGAGACAGAGTCTCACTCTTTTTGCCCGGGCTAGAGTGAGTGCCGTGGCGTCAGCCTAGCTCACAGCAACCTCAAACTCCTGGGCTCAAGCAATCCTATTGCCTCAGCCTCCCGAGTAGCTGGGACTACAGGCATGTGCCACCATGCCCGGCTAATTTTTTTGTATATATTTTTAGTTGGCCGATTAATGTCTTTCTAATTTTAGTAGAGGCGGGGTCTCGCTCTTGCTCAGGCTGGTCTCGAACTCTTGAGCTCAAACAATCCGCCCACCTCGGCCTCCCAGAGAGCTAGGATTACAGGCGTGAGCCACCGCACCCGGCCTTAATTTAAATTTTGACCTATATGAGTAGATTTGTTTTAGGTATATCTATTGAAAAAAAATAGTTTTAGATTTTGCTTCAATTGGCAATCTGAAAATCTTTCTCCTTTAATAGGTAAGTTATGCTCATTTATTGTTTTTTATGTCATCAGTATATTTGGATATTTGGGCTCAGTTCTGTTGTAATATTTATACATCCATATAAATTATATGTGTAATTTCACTGGGACTTTCACTAGATTGTCAGTTTTAATTGCTCTCTCTTTTTTTGTTGGTATTTAGGATAGTTATTACTTTTTCTCTAGTGGTTACTTCTTTATTTAGGTTTCAAATATACTTTATTTCTTCAATAATGCCATATTTTAATGGGTACACAGTGCTTTTACTTGGCATCAATTAGGAGTTGGTTTTGAAACAATTCAGTATTACACCAGCTGGGATGATTACTGATCTCTCCATTCCTTTGGGGTGACTCTGCCAACAGGGGACAGGTTCCATTCTATTCCAATTTGTGTTGCTGCATATGTCCATACAGCAATACAGAAAGTGGCTCCAGTAGCTAATACAGCATTAGCATATTTGTCATGAAAATCAGATGTTTGTTTCTGCTGGCTCTGCCTTGCCATTGTTAGCTGAAAGTTTCTAACTTGGAGATGGCTTTGTGTATTTTTGGTCAAGGGAAACTTCATGAAGCTGAAGATGGAACTTTGACAACTCCAGCTGCTGTTTCCATGCAAATTCACTTCAGGTACCCTTGTAAAAAACCTCTAGTGATTACTTTTATGCTGAGTCCTTAATATCCTACTTAATATTCTTGATATGGAATGAATACTACTCATGAATAAAGAAATAGACAAATGGTATCAACAGATAATTCACATAAAAGAGTATACATACCTATTAAACTTTGAAAATATGCCAAATTACAATAACTAAAGAAATGCAAATTAATATCCTGAGCTATCATGCTGAGTAGAAAGTGCAAGTTGCTAGAAAACATATATATATATATGTATATACATAAACTCTCTCTCTATATATATAGTTATCTAAATTTTGCAATTGAATATATGCCTGTGAACATGTTTTGTGTATTTCACACACACATACTTGCACACACACACACATATGCCTCTAAGTAGATGTATGTGATCCTGGAGTACTGTATTCCCCTTTATGAGCCTGACCTTGGTCATCTGTAAAATAGGCATATTGATACCTACTTCACACAGCTTTTGCGAGGAGAAAAGAGGAAACCTATAGAATGTGTGTAGCCCATGATGCTTAAATAAATATATGTTTAGTATCCCCTGTGTTCTTTCTCCCACAAAAGAGATGACTTAACGTGAACATCTTATAGAGATCATATGGATTTGAAATGGCAGGAAAAAAGCATACATACTTTTACAATGGATAAACTTGGTGCCCTTTTTTGTAGTATGAGCTACCTGAGGATGGTGGAAGTAAAGAAGTAAATAATCCTCTAATTACTTTTTAGTTGATATATGCTATCCTATTAACCATAAACATTACACTCAAAGATCAGGTTTGCTAATGTTTTCATCTGCATTATATTCTTCCAGTTTTCTTATGCAAGTACTTGTATACTTACGGATGCATGTATTTATATATTTTTACACAAAAGATAAGATTTCATATTACATGTAGTTTTACAACCTTGTATATCACTGTAGTGGTTTGAATTGTGTCAACCAAAAAGTTTTTTTCAAATCCTAACCCTCCAAACCTGTGAATGTGACCTTATTTGGAAATAAGGTCTTTGCAGATGTAATTAAGTTAGAGGTCTTGAGATGAGACCATCCTTGATTTAGGATAGGACCTAAATCCAATGACTGGTGTCCTTAGAAGAGAAAGGAGAGAGAGATTTGACACACCAAGTGAAGAAGATGAGTGAACTGGAGTTATGCTGCCACAAACTAAGTAAAGCAGGAGACACCAGATGCTGGAAGAAGAAAGAAAGGATTCTCCCCTAGATCCTTCAGAGGGAGTGTGGCTCTCTTGACACCTTGGTTTCAGACTTCTGTTCTCTAGAATTGTAACAGAAGAAATTACTGATATTTTAAATCTGAAGTTTGTAGTTGTTATGGTGGCCCTAGGAAACTAACACACTAACAACGTACCCAAAATGTCACTGATTGTGAATTAACATCAGTCTATATTTAATTTTTCATGCCAGTGGGGATAGTAATGTCAATAAAGAGAAATAAAAAGAAATAAAAATGGCTAAAATTTCTTGTGTGCTAATGACTTTTATGGATTGATTCATTTAATGCTCACTGTGCCCTTCTAAGGTAGATACGATGTTATTCCCATTCTATAGATGAAAAACCAAGAGACAGAGACTAAAGACTTTGCTCAAGACTGCACAGTTAGGGAGGGAGGGAGGGGAACACCTTGGATTTGTGCCCAGTACATCATGCTCCAGAGCCTGGGAAACTGTCACAGATTTGTTGTTAAGTAAAAGAAGCAGCCTGCAAAACA